GGGCCGGGGATTTAGCTCAGTGGTTTTGCCGCCTGCTGCGCAAAGCGCAAGGACCCAAGTTCGATCCCCGGTACCAAAAAAAAAAAAAAAAAAGAGTAAAGCACTGGCCTGAAAAGTCACACTTCCTGTCATCCCACACACACACCCACACTGACCCCTGTTGTCCCTCCAGGTCTGGACGATTCCCTGCAGGACTATCCCTTTGAGGACTGGGAGCTGCCTGGCAAGTACTTGCTCCAGCTGTGCCCCCGCAGCCTGGAGGCTCTGACAGTGTGGCCTCTGGGCCACCAGGAGCTCATTCTGGATGGGGTGGAACAGCTCCGGGCCCTGGTGAGTGAGGACTGGCCACACTGGCTGGCTGCAGCATCCACCAACCTGGCTGAGGGTCCCCATAGGGGGCTGGCTGCTGGCAGAGCAGTAACCTGTCCCATTCTGGCACAGAGCACTGGGCTACAAACAGAGAACCTGCAGAGCCTGGCAGAGGGGCTGCTGGAGGGGACCCAGGCCTTCCAGAGCTTAGTCCAGGGACGCCTGGGGGACTCTCCTGAGATCCCTGCCGAAGTTCTCAGTGCAGCTGTGAAGCTAGTGCATGCAGCCCGTGCTCTTCTCTTCTGGCTCAACAGGTACCTGGTTGGGGTGACTGGTGAGAGGACCCTTCTTGTCTTGGCCTCCTCTAGGGCCTGGGAGAAAAATAGAGTTTGGTTTTTGTTGAGATTTGGCAGAGCAGTTGGGGATTTAGCTCAGTGGTGCTGTCGCCTGCCTCACAAACACAAGATCCCAAGTTCGATCCCCTGTACCAAAAAAAAATAAAGTTATCCTTTAGGGGATTTAGCTCAGTGGTTCCAGCGCCTGCCTTAAAAGGGCAAGGTCCTACGTTCAATCCCCAGTACCAAAAAAAAAAGGTCAGAGATTTGGCAGAGCAGGTGAAAGAAGTTAGTCTACAGAGGCACTGGGCTGGCTACCTGGCTTCCCACTCCACCTCTGGTTTGTTATCATCACAGTCTTACCAACAGCTATTAGAGAGCTTCCCTGTCTCCTCACTGGCTGCTGCTTGCGCTGTGAGTTCTACTTGAAATGTTGTCTCCTCAGGGAAGCCTCCCCTGTTATCCACGGTCAGCGTTCTACGTTTCACAATACTCATGACAGCTGAAGTTAAATTGTTGATATAATCATCTGTTGTTCAGCATCTGTCTCCTAGTGCCTAGACAAGAGCCTGCACATAGCAGGGGTGTGAAAAATCAAGTCCTGTGCTAAGCTTTGTCATCTCCTTTACTCCAAATCAAAACCCGTTAGGGCAGTCTCAGATGAGAGATGGGCTCAGAGTGCCAAAGCCCATTCCCTGAACCATAATGCCATGCTTCTCCTGCCAGGTACCTCTTCTCCCAGTTAAACGACTTCTCAGCCTGCCAGGAGATCGGGGCGTTGTGTGGGGAGCTGAGCCAGGCTTTGCAGGAGGTAGGAGGACAGGGGCCAGGCTTGGCCCATGCCCAGGAGGCCAGACCAGGCAGGAGCTTTTTATAACCTGTGAATCAGACCAGGGTCAGGTGTGAGGGCTGGGGCAAGGGAGTGAGCACAGGAGGAGAAGAGGCCCTGCTGCTGGGTATAGGGCGATGGGGTATGGGGTCTCTTCCCTGGCAGAGGACCTCAGGAAATTTGCCAAATAGGAGGGGGTGACAGGGGAGGGCATGCATGTGTGGTGACTCCTGGAGGCCTGGTGGCAGGGGGATAAGAACTTGGGGTTGAAATTCTGAAGTCCTATAGGGAAGCTGGGAAGGACAGAGGGGACAGCCCTCCCATGCTCTTAGGAAAAGGCCACCCTCCCTCAACCTTACTCAGGAGGGGCTCCTGCTTTTCATTCTGCTTCTAGGACTGCCCAGAGGCTGTGAAGGAGAGCAAAGTCCTGAGGATCGTGAGTGGGGGCAGAGGGGGAGTGGGGTGTGGGGGTGTGGGGATGGGGGAGTGGAATCAGGTTTAGCCAATCAACCTGCCCCCTGCCCCAGTGCAGCCACGTGTCTGGAATCTGTCACAACATCCTGAGCCACACCCCAGAGGAGCTGCTTGAGCAGAGGGCTGTTCTAGAGCAGGTGCAGCTGGACAATCCTTCGGTGAGACCTGACCTGTCACCTCACTCCTATCCCCTTGGCAGCCTTGTCTGGGCCCTGAAATATGGTCTAGGGCAGTGGTCCAAGCTTATAGCACGCATGCTGCAGCAGGCACGCAGCACCCTCTCTGTTGGCATGTAAGCCACGTTGCCCCAGCAGCTGAGCATTGGATAACAGTTGTTTTTTCTAAACTAAAACCTCAGTGTTCAGGTTTAATTTCAGTGTTGACATGTTGCAATAAACAATTGGGTTTGGGGTTGCAATTTGGACACTTGGTCTCTAAAAGGTTTGCCATCATTGGTCTAGGGTCTCCAGTATCCTTCACGGCTGACTGGAAGCCTATTATGCACAGGTGTTTAAATGGAGGTCCAGCTGGGCACAGTAGTGCACAGCTGTAATCCTAGTTACTCAGAAGGCTGAGGCAAGAGGAGCACAAATCCAAAGCCAACCAGGGCAACATAATGAGACCCTGTCTCAGATTTTTAAAAAGCTTAGGGACTCATGTCACATTTTGCCAGATGTAGTAGTGCATGTATGTAATCCTAGCATTTGGGCAGCGGAGGCAGGAGGGTTCCAAGTTCAAGGCCAGCCTAGACTACATAGCAAGATTCTATCTCAAAAAAGCAAAACAAACAGAAAACTTTAAAAAGGGCTGGGGGTATAGCTCAGTGGTAGAGTGTTTTCCCATCATGCACAAGGTTCTGGGTTCAACCCCTAGTTCCAGAAAAAAATATGGGACCCAGAGGACCTACCTGTAGTGTCTTCCCAAGTCTTTAGGGGCTGTGCCAGTATGGTCTCAGGTTGCACATTCCAACTTTGTGACACAGGTCTAGCAGGGTCTCAGGGATAGGTTGGGAGAGAGAAGAAAGGATATGAGCTTTTCTGCTTTAATCTTTAGTTAGGAAACCCAGAGCCCCCAACCCTGCCTCTGTCTTGCCCTGTCCCTCTCCATTCAAGAAAGTCTGTGAATCTAGTATCTCAGAAATCAGTGACCCTGGGTTCACTCTGGCCCTTTCAGAGGAGGGGGCAGAGGTCCAGAGAGGAGCCCAAAGTCACGCAGCAAGTTGGGGCAGTGCCAACATGGGGCCAGCTCTATCCCCACCCCCATTTCCACCCACCATAGAGCTCTGGTGCCCAGTGGCCCTGCTGCCCCCAAACCCTCAGTGACTGTAGCCCCTGCCTTTGCAGGACCTGGAAATCCAAACCACAAGCAACTGCCTGCACTTTGTGTCCCGAGTGAACACCCAGGTGAGAGCCCATACCCTTCTCCGCCACCCAGCCTTAAAGCCCACTCACCAGCTCCAGGCCCCAGAGAGCCCACTTTCTGGGTCCCACTCCCCCATACCAGGTCTCCACTGACTCCCAGCTGCAGATCCTGCCTGGAGATGAGGTTGTCCAGATCAATGAGCAGGTGGTGGTGAGTGGGGTGGGGACAGAGTGGAGCCCTGGCTAGTAGGTGGGGAAGGCAGCCCAGGGCTCTGCCCCTCACCAAGAACAGGGCTGTGGATGCTGCCTGCCAGGAAGTTCAGAACTGGCTCCCAGGTGAGACCCCCATGTCCTTGCCAGCTGCACATCCCAAGGCCCTCTCACCTTCCTCCTCAGAGCCACAGCGAGGGGGCTTATGGAGGCTCCTTGGAGGCGGTGTAGGTAAAGCAGCAGGAGGCTCAGGGAGAGCTCCAAGTGCAAGGTCAAGAGTTGGTGGGTTGCTTCAGAGCCTGCTACCCAGCTTGATGCCAGCCTAGTGTCTCTACTTTGTCCAATTCTCTTGTCCCCCAGGTGGGCTGGTCTCATAAGAACGTGGTGAGGGAGCTGCTTCAGGAGCCTGCCGGGGCCAGCATAGTGCTGAAAAAGATCCCAGTGCCAGAGACCCCTCCACAGGTAACCACCACCCCCCCATCCCACCCCTACCTGCTTTCACACTCCTCAGCTCCATTATCCTGATTCTGATGATTCCCCAGACCCCCTTGGACTCCCTACACCTGAGAAGCCAGTCACTGGCTGTGGCCCCACTGTCTCCCAGGTAAGAGACTCTGCCCTGGAGGTCCCTTGGTGGGGGACCATGGGTTCATCTCATCTCTCCGTGCTCTTCCCAGGGTCTCATCTGAAGAAGTCTTTGCCTTCAACCTGACTTCAGACTCATATCCTGGGCCCGGCCCTGCTTGGACAGGTAGTGTTAAAGCCCCAGCAGGTGATAGATTCTCCCCAGCAAGGCATCTGAGCACCTGACTCTGGCCTTCGATGCTGACACCATCACCTCAGTCCCCGAGCCTGGGACTGGGTTCATGGACCTTCCCCCACTTCCCTCCCTGACAGACCCCGAGCCCCTGCCCATCACACCTGCATCTCCAGCCACATTCTCAGCAGGAATAGCAGAGACACCTGGGTGCCCAGGACACCCTGACAAGGTAAGCTCAGGAGGATCAGCAAGGAGCGGTGTGGGCTGTGGACCCAGACTTTCTCTAACCCCTGCATGTTCCTTTCAGAGTCCTGTCCTTGGTCGGAAGAAATCCAAAGGTATGAGTGCCCTGAATGGGTGGAGGTCCGCCCATATGAGGACCTCTCAGAAATCTTTCTGTGTTGGGACGACGCCCCCACCCACTTCCCACATAGCCTCTGTTTCTGGGGTCAAGCAGATCTGACCTTTACCAGCTCTGTGATTTTAACCAAATGCCTGGTCCCCTGATCTTCAGTTGACTCATTTCTGAAACAGAGTCCTCACTGCCTCAGAGATGACATGTGTGACATTCTGAGCTCAGAGTGTGGCTTCAGACATCTCAGTTGGGGATGCTCAGGAGGTCTGGGGAGCGGGGCTGCCTCACCAACTCTCACCAGCCCAGCTGCGCTATGCTCTTGCAGGGATGGCAACAAAGCTGAGCCGACGGCGGGTATCTTGCCACGAGCTGGGCCGGCCAGACTGTGATGGCTGGCTCTTGCTGCGCAAGACACCTGGTGGCTTCATGGGTCCACGCTGGCGCCGCTGCTGGTTCGTGCTCAAGGGGCACATGTTGTACTGGTACCACCAGCCACAGGTGAGACCCCCCCACACTCACATGGGTAGCAAGTGAGTTGCTTCAGAGATTTGATTCTTGTCTCTATTCTACCATTTACTCCCATCTGTCATCAGTGATGGCCCCAGACCTTCCAAGGCCTCAGTGTTCCCATCTATAAGTGAGGATGGCTCTTCAGAAAGAAATGACTTGATATGTGTGAAAAAGAAGTTTAGGGACAGTTGGGCATAGTGGTGAATGCCTGTAGTTCCAACACACAAGAAGCTAAGATAGGAAGATCACAAGTTCAAGGCCAGTCTGGGCTACATAACAAGTTTGAGGCCAGCCTGGACTACAAAGTGACACTCTAGACAGTGTCAAAACAAAACAAAAAACTTTGGAGGAGCTGAGGTCATAGCTCAGCAATATGCTGTGTGCTTAGTATACACAGGGCTCTAGGTTTTATTTATTTATTTATTTATTTATTTATTTAAT